GAGTGCCTTTTCTCTGCCAGAACAGTGCTGCTGGGTGCTTCACATACACTGTTTCATTTCTTTCTCACAAGTACTCTCTGCTGCACATTTTACCGAGGAAGAAATTGAAAGGCTGAATTACTCACCCAGTGTTACATGACCGACAACTCAGAGCTACAGCCAGGATTTGAATTCCAGTCTTCCTAATGCCCAAGTCTGCACTTTCTCCCAGAGACAGAGGGGTCAGCTGTAGGCAGGGAGTAACACTCTCGGCCATATTCATTCTCTGTTGAAATCCGTGTGTCTGTTTCCAGGAATCTCCTTTAGGCCTGGCACTGCCCCCTACATCGTTGGTCACAACCTCCTAAAGGCTCATGCTGAGGTCTGGCATCTGTACGATGATGTGTACCGTGACAGTCAAGGTGGCATCATTTCCATCACCATCAACAGTGAATGGGCTGAGCCTAGAAACCCCTCCAACCAGGAGGATGTGGAGGCAGCCAGGAGACATGTTCAGGTCCGTCTTTCCTCTGGGTACTGTTCTTACTATTGTCCAGATTTCCTCTTGTTGTAGTCTAATGGAAATAGAATTGGATTGAGAATCAAAGATTTAGCGTCTATACCCAGTTTTGTTACTACCTTTTTGTGAGCTTGAGAAAATCACCTCCTGTTTGTTTCCTCACCTGTGAACTGTGATATGTTTTTGTGGGCTGGATTTTCTTCTATATCTTAAAAGATTACTTGGACTTGTAGTCCTTACTGATGGATGTAACACTGATTTGAAGTTAATTCAGAAAGAAATTCCATCTTTTTAGTCTCTCTGGTTTGACTGTAGTAGCTAATAGAGCTAGGCTGCAATGTCACACTTCACCTCTAGGTGTCACCATCCTATTTTATTTGCTCCAGCCTAGCATTCCTCAAAATGGGGGCTTTAGATTCTGTGAAACTCACTGGTGCCACTAATTTGCCAATTCCATGAGTTTAAAATAGAGACATGCATCTTTATTTAGATCATGGAATTTTGCCCCTATGAAGTAGACACACTAATAGTAGGTAGGTGACAATATGGCCCACCCGTACTTTCTTTTTTCTTTCATACTTTAATCTGGGTGACTGACAAGAGGAGAGAGGGAAAAGAACGGCCCTCTTTCATGGCCCAGCTTTTCCCTGGCTCCTGTGAGTGTCTCTGNAGGATCACATGTAAAAGCTGGAAAGAGCCGCAGAGAGACGACCATCAAATCTTTATCACATGCATCTCCCATTGGTCCTTGCTTGGCACTCATGCTTATCACTCCTTCAGATTATGAGAGGCAACCGCTCTTATAGCATTGGCTCATGAGGAATCTCCACGTCAGCTGTTTGCGTCAGCTATATTCTCCAACTCTGACTTTCACAGTGGGTCCCCAAAGAGCTCCAGAATGTCAACTCCTGAGGCACACTCTATTGTGGGTATTTTGCCT